TGGCTTTACCGGGTTTAGTAAATTTCTATTAAACTCACATTATCTATCCATGACATCGGGATAATTATAATGCTGTTTTGACATCCTTGGTTAAGCCTGTACTATATTTGCGAGTCTTCCATGTCTATATTTTTACATATTCCTAAATGTATTCATTTTTAAGAAATTGAATATTATGATAGTTGTTTAATGGTATAGCCATGATATTGTTTTTGTTTAAAAAAGTTTAAAGAGATTTTGGACTCTTAGAATATATACAATATTTCTTCATAAGGATTCTATTTATTACACAATTCTTCCTTTAACTGATCTCTTCATTCTCTCTCTCCTAATCTTATACTTTCTCTTCAGCTTCTAATTCTCTTCAACTGATTTATTTTTTTTTATTTCTTCATTTACCTCATCTTCATGTGATTTTTTTTTTTTTTACTTCAATATCTCAGGCTCAACTATTCATATTCTGTACTTCATTTTTTCAATTTGACAGTACAAATTTTTCGCCACCAATGGAATTTGAATCGCGGACCCCCCCGGGCACGTATATGTTACAATACGTTACAATTTTGCCCATTTTCCATAAATATTGCCTTTTCCCACATTTTGTTTGGAATATTAGTGCAAAGAATATTTAAGATCGTGAATAATAAATTATAATTCGTCGTTATTATGTTTTGTTCTAAAATATTTTTTGAAAAGCTTTATTAAATTTTATTTTGAACTTCATATAGATTTTATTTCAAAGCATATATTTTACTGTTTCAAACATTTTTGGATGTAAAAAGAAATTGAAACGGGTTTTCACCGACTTAGGTCTGCGCAACCATGAATTATTTTTTTACACGTTTGAAAAATCTTTTAGGAAATACGTGTAGGATAATAATAATTGATTATGTTTGATATTATTATTCAATGAGTGATGTTTGTTTCATATATTAAAAAAATCAATAAAAAAGTTGTTCTATCTTTTTATATCTTTGAAATTTTATAAAATCGTTTTATTTATAACATTAGATTGAATTTTACAATTTAGCATACGTTTTCTTTTTTTTCAAGTAAACTTGATAAATTAAATAATTTGCTTGACAAATTAAATATTTTTTTTATTTGAATCTAATTGGCGTAACGATTAATTAAATAATTTGTTTGACAATTTGAATAATTTTTTTTATTTGGATCGAAGGCATTATGCAAAAATTTATTGTTTCTATATGAAACATTTTTACTCCTTTGATAAAGAATATGAAATTTAATTTTGGCGTTAAAATTTATGTAAAACTTAAATCATAAAGACCTCAGGAATGTAAGTAATTTAGCTTTTGGCATTGATGCTGATAAATTGCAACCGAAAAACGTCATTTTTTATGATGCAAAAATTAATATTGCTGCATACTTAACTGCGAACGTGCGACAAATTGATTCAAAATTTTCTACTTTAAAACTTTTAATCATCTGGAATATAGCATTTTATTAATGCTTAACATTTGATTATATGATTTATTTAAATATTTGCACATGTATTTAAAAATAATGTAAACATACGCAACTATTTGAAATACATATTTAATCTACGGATTTATGGTTGTTCTGCATTATGAAAAACTTTAAATATTATTTTATTGTTAAATCTGGATATATATGATACATTTTAAATTATATTTACCTAAATGTTTTATATATCACAAATACATATTGTAAGCTTTAGCTCTTATAATAATCATTACCGCTTAATACAACTTATTGTTAGAATTAAGTGAAACAAATACATTCATTAACAACTCTTTTTGATTATACATACATTTCGCCATCAATAACATGTACCTTTCATGCCATGAAAATATTTTTACATATTATTTACGAAGTTTGTTAAGCTATGTCTATTCAATTCTTATTCTGCCATGCAATTTTTTTGTCCAATTTATTCATACTCATTTTATCAATGTGCAATGATAATATGAATGTATTAATATAACATATTTAATATTTCCAATTAGCTTCTCTTATACCGATCAAAAATGCATTTTTTGAGTATGCCATGTGTACTGAAAATTACTCTCTTTGTATTTTCTATTAATGATTTTTGCTTCGTGTACATTATTAATTAAATTTTTCATAGCCAAACTCATTATTATTTCATAGCCTAACTATATTTCAGTTAATTTATATTACGTAGAATAATGGCAACTGATCCTACCCCCAAATGTAAACTACATCGTGAAAGCCCGAGCAATTGTAATGAATTTAAAAATTCTTAAGGATAGTTAAGTACGTTATCCTGAATTATAGCAGTATCTATAGATGTAAAAGTAAAGCACTCCTCTGGAAGTAAATTTTGAATTGTTGCATTGAGATCATCGACATCTTTGTTTTTTGCCGCCAATATTGGCCGTCCATTCAGCCAATTAAGATTATGAAATCGTTGGTTTATGCCCGGAAATACGCATTAAGCTCCTCTTTTCGAATGAAAAAAGTCGTTTAATATTACTTGAATATAAGTTATGTTTACAATATGAATACAGAAATTTTTCAAATACTAATCTCAAATATCCTTTTAAATTTAATTGAAACTATATAACAAGCGTGCATTTTCATAATGTTCATATTTTATTATATTATTCTTGATGTAGATATTACTTCAAGACAGACATTTTTTCATTTTATTCTATTATTTTATATATATATATATATTTATATATATATATATATATATATATACGGATTGTTATATAGCTATATCAAATGGACATATTTTCTTTAATAGTTGTTCGTGTTTGTGAAGTAGCAAAAATCTGCGGGCAACGTTATTAACCCTTTTTAGGCACTAACCTGCGATTTTACCATTTCCAATATCCATCAAGTGCTCTATAAACACGAACACATGTTGATTGTTAATTAGAGTTTTTTAATGTGAAGCCATGAATTTGATGATTTGAAACATGCGTTCAGTTCATCAGCAATAGTTGATCGAGGAATAACTGGAATAGTTTGAAGAAAATCACCTGGCAATAAAATCACAGCTCAACCGAAAATATTTTAGTTGCCACGTAAATTTTCCAAAATTCTGTCTCTGTGCCTCCAGTGAGCTCTTGTGAGCCAACGAACATAGGTCGCAAATTAACATTTTTCAAGGCTGAAGTATCAAACTAGTAATTCGGCGATTTGCATGTTGCTTCTATTCCAAACGAAGCCTGTGCTAGATCTACCTCATTTTGCGATTGGATTTCTATTTTTGATTTATTCTTTCAATAATTTAGTTTGAAATATTTTAGTAGTCAATGATTTTTTCCTCAATAAATTCAGTGGGCGATAAAATTAGTATTTCTTTTTGAATATCATTTCCAATATCCATCTTGTTGAAAGCATTATTTTTAATTCTATGGTATACAAATAAATCAAACACAAACACAAAAATCAAATAATAATCAAATAACATATAAATCTATAATATCTAACTAAAACACTTAAATTTTCACAAATTATTCATATTTCTTATCTTTTTATTTTTAAATCAATAAAAATTTATAAAAAAAACTTTGAAAACAATTATCGAATGGTTATTTTTATTATTTATAAATAAATCACATCATTAAATTGTAAACATATCAAACATTAAAAATAAATATATCTATTTTATATTTACATTGAATACATAATACAAATTTATTATGTACGAGGGGGGACTCAAAAATAACCCGAATTGTGTTATAACTTTTTTATTGATCATTTTTTTTAAACCAAATTTATAGCACCTTTGAAGGAATCCACTTGACTGTAAATACTCTTGTTTAATCTTTTTTGTCCAGTTTTCAAAACAGTTTTCAAATTTAATTTTTGTTATACTTTTTGTACCTTCCAGCGATTTTTGTTTCATCTAGTCAAAACAGTCTGGGAAATAAAAAAAAATCGAATAATATTATTTAAATATAATATAAAATTATATAAAGTGAATACAGAAATTTTCCAAATACACAAATACATAATTAAATTATTCTTGATTTAGATATTAATTCAAGGCAAACATATTTTTACTTTATAATATAATTTTTCTCTATTAAAAATATCAACTCTTACTATAGAGTTCTAAGTGATTAATGAGCTATAGCTATCAGTGTATTGCAACTAAAATTGCAATATACTCCGGATCGTTATATAGTTATATCAAAGGAACATATTTTCTTTAATTGCATTTCTGGTAGTTGTTTATCCACTTCGTGTATTATATCATTTTTATTTTATGCTCTCTGTAATTTTTATGCCGGATTCGGTTGGTTCTCCATCTTGTCTTCACATCTCTATCACGAGTCCATATTGTAATAAATTTCAATGTTTTGTGTGTTTCCAATTCAGTTGCATTTTTGTGTATCACCAGAACTTCTATATAGTCTGCTCGGGAACTAATTAAGAAAATACTTTTTTCCAATACCAGAATTAGTACCTGAACAACATAAGGAAATTTTTGTTAAATTTTACTATTCAGAATTTAGAAAATGAAATTTTACTATTTAGAAGTTATTTGGATTATGAAATAATTTATGATGATACAAACATGTTTTTTGATACTTTACGTTCTTCTGTGACATTTGTCGTCTTCTGTGAACTGTGACATTTGTCAAACCTTATAAATAGAAATGTAGTGGACCATATAAATGAAAAACTCGTTCTAATACTGAAGATTTTATTGTATTCTTTACATGTGCTATATATTGATTATACTGTATATGTTTGTAATGATTATTTCTAAATCTATTTTAACCTGAACTTGTGTTGATGTCAATTAATATAATGTGAACTTATTATTCCCATATAAGCGTACCTTTTGATGCTTGATTATGGGAAACCACAATTTTGTTAATTTTTTTGTTATCAGCCTTAATGTAAAATAAAATATACGATATAATATTTTAGTTTTAATTTAATAATACATAATTTTAAAGTTTGATGTGTTTGATAATGAGAATGTCATTTAGATTTATTTTGTAAAAATATATATATTTTATTTCCAGGCTTGACTTCAGCGCTAAAACCGGCCTGAGTAACGCCAAATTCACATACGAATATGACTCCAATTTCCGCGTCAGTTCAATTCAAGGCCGAATTGGTGGGCAGACTTTACCTGCACATGGTTTGGCCTGGGATCCGATAACAGGTGCGGCCTCGCAAATTGGCCAATTTCGGGTAAGCCGACCACGCCCTGGAGAGACAAACGTCTTTGATGGAACTGGCAGTTTTGTTCGGGAAACCGATGAACGTTGCCTGGAACAAAGGGTCTCCGTCACAATACACCGAATGGAGGTCAGTATAGAAAAAATGATGCACCTTTTAACACGAATGTTTTGTGTTTTGAACCAAAAACTGCCTTATTCTACATCTTTTATATCCGATTTTTATATTGATTTATTCTTAATATATCAGGTTTAATAAATGAAACCTTCAATTAAACATTAATTATATTCGTTTCCAAAGTTGTCCATTTTCATTTTTTTTGCTTTCCCAATTTTTTCGGTATGACTAGTCATCTACTCGATCTAGTACATATATGAACATTTTTACAGGGAAGCTACTAGGGGCTTGTTGTAACTTTTTTTTTAAAGTAATATATATTGAGATTTTCTGATTATATTTTTACGGAATGAAGATGGATAGACGCTGTAACTATTCCTCTACCAAATCAATTAAAAGTAATTCTATAACTATTGTTCGTTATTTATTGTTCTTTAGAAAGAGTTCGGTGTTACAACTTACCCCGTGTTTGGCTAGTTGTAACATCATAGACGATACTATACCTCTGATAATTTATTCTCTGCTTTTTTCTAAAAAAATCAGCACGTTTTCAAAGTAAATAATTGTTTTTTCTTAGTACACGTAAACTACAATTGATACATATGAGAGATATAGTAATTTTGTGATACAATTTACAAATACCCACATCTTGGAAATCAAAAATTTCACTCAACCTTTTCCACTTGATTTTTTCACATACCAGACAATACCAATTTATTGCATGTTATAGTGTGATTTTTTTTACCTTATTCGAGATAACTATCTAAACAATTGAGTAACCACAAAAATTGTTACAAATTATCAAAGATTGGTAAATCTGAAACGAATTAGATGCATGCAATTTAAAATTAGTCGATAATCATAACGCAAACCCATATTTTATGATAGTGCAATTTTATATTGCCAGTTAAAAATGACACACCTGCACAATTCTGTTTACTGCGTCAGCCAGCGTGACAGTTGGTATGACAATATTTTGCAGAACGTTTTACATGTCTAGTCAAAACAAAAAATATTTTAATATCATTGATGATCCTATTAAAAAACGTCTGTTACTACTTGCTATATATACAAATCAAACTTGAATTATCATGAAATTGTTAAATATTTATTATCTTTAAGTTTTCTTCGATTGATTTTGAATTATATTTTTTTTGAATCAGTTTTTTTAAATGTGTCGAACAAATTTTGTTTTATGATATGTATGAAACTTTTATGTTGGTTTTCAAAACATTGATTTTAATGCTTAGTTTTGTTATTGCAGAGAATTGCACTACATATTATTTTATCTATAGAATTTTATTCTAGCATACATAGAAAATAAATTTTCAATTAATGTGAGTGAATTTTATATTAAATTCAATACAATATGAAATAAAAATATGCATATTTATTAAGACGAAAGTGAAAATGTATATCCAAATTTAAAAGACGCAGTTGAATCTGCATGTAAGAGTCGTGAAATATTTAATCACACCGTCAAACTGAAGAGATTTATAACTTAATACTATTAATACTACTATACTTTTACCACTGATACGCTAACTAAGAACTAAATTTTATAATTTTTTCTTAAACTGTGTTAAGCAATACAAAAAAAATTATTCATGGTTTGCACATTATTTTTAATCGGAACCGACGGAACAGAAAGATATAAAAAGTCTAAAACTTTAATGTATTATTTTAAAATATATTTTACTTCTAAGTAAATTTAATTTTCGCATATTCACCATAGAAGTTTTTAGAAAAAGTTTTATGAAAATAAATTGATTGTATTCATACTGATACTCAAAATTTGTAGCAACATTTATAACTATTAACTCTGCTGTACTGGTCTTATAAAGTTTTTGGAAAAAAGCATTTGACATACCGCTAGTTTTGTTGATAATATGATATCGATGTTTCCTAGTCTTATTTTTATTGGACTGAATTTGTGTATTTTATATGTCTTATTGCATAATTTTTAATACCGGTATTTTCTTTTACGATTTGATTCTCCTTACTATATTAATTAATTTTATTTTAAAACTGTTAAACTTTAGTTTTTATATTCTCGAACACATATTGAGTTGATGTGTTTATTAAACTTTTGTTTCATTACATTTTATTCAATTATTTCCTTTTTCTGAGCAGTTTTTAATAATATTGCAAATTATTTAATAGTTTTATTAAACTTTTAAACAAAGTTTATCTAATATTAACCCATTTTAATAGCGAATTATTTCATATCATGCAGTTTTTATTCAGTGGAAGGTTACAGTCTGATGAATAGTGTTGTATTCTAATTCTGGTAAATAATTTTTTTTCTCAACTACATCATTTTACAATAAATTATATACCATGTGTCAGAGGTTATACTTGATTTGATCTTTGATTTTTTTTAAATTAATCTTATTATGATATCAAAATATTTTATTCTTGATTGAAAACCTAAATATAGAACATATCAAGAAAATGCTTATTACTTATTATTAATAAACATTTTTGTTCTCAAAGCACTGATTCATTCTGATTCTTAAAAATTTTGTGTTTATTCTGAAATACATAGTTATCATGAAAGACATAGATATTAAACTTATTAATTTATTTAATTCATTAATGCTTACCATTTTAATTATTTTCAATTACTAGTTTTACATGCCAGACGAATACAATATTATTAAATCCTTTCCTCTATATAATTAACGTTCACTCGAACAAAAAACACAGCTGTTTTACAAAAGTTTTACAAAAGTAAGGTTGGAAAAGTTGGTTGCGGTGCATTTCAATTTTGTCAACATTGAACATAATTTTCTCCATAATATTTGAAGAAAAGTTTACAATAATTTTTTTAATAAGATTTTATGAATCCGAAAAACAGGGTGGTAAGATTATCAAACAATGAGATTAATTTCTTAGAATACAACCTTATTCCGCACATAGAATTTTTAATATAATATAAGATTTTATATCATGACTTATTTTTATCAATATTTACTTGTTATATTTTAGTAAAAAAATAAAACAAAGTAGCCAATATTTTGTGGTAAAATTTATATTCCAACTTCCATTTTATAATAGCTTTGTGAATTAATACTTATTTTATATTTTTTCTTTGAATCACATTAGAATCAATTTTAATTAATTAGCTGTTAATATTGATTTTACATATAACAAATTTGCACTGATTACTAGTTTTTACGCAATGATAATTATAATAAATTGAAAGTTTTATAAAAAGCCACGCGTATTACTATATTAATAATTTTTGTTATAACTAAAGGCTGCTCGTGTTTACACCCTTTTAAATCGTTTTTTAATTGGTTCATTCTTGATATATTCTTATTATAATAATTATATTTATAAAGTGCCCATTATATGCTAAAGATAGGAAAAGATATTGTATTTTAGAGTTCTTAAATGTATACTGTTGATCTTTTTTACCAACTCGTAGTTCTAATTTTGAATGTTTTTTTCTCACAAAATTACAAAATGAAACTTTCGTCATTGCAGGTATTCCGTATGGAATTTTCACGAGATTCTCGTGGCAGAATTTCTCAAACTCGAACTTATACGAGAAATGTTGGTGTTAATACTTATACTAACATGAAGAATTATACTTGGGATTGTGATGGTCAACTTATTGGAGTCGAAGCCCAAGAACCTTGGGGATTCCGATATGATGATAATGGCAACATGCTCTCCTTAACATACAGGTGAGAATGATTTTATGTCGAATAATTAATTTTATTTTTTCTATTTCATATATGATTTGTATACCTGCATATTTATTTGATCGTAATTTATTTTTCTTGAAACTCCGTGAATATATTTTATTGGTTCCTATCTATAAATCACACTGCATCTTTAAAAATTGTTTGGTACAATTTGGTACAATCTTGCAGTAGCTCACTTGTCCATTGACTTCTGTAGTTTTTGATATTTTACAATTGTAGAAATATGGCACAACTTATATTTCATTTTAGTAAAATATTAATATGAATTTTATTGCAATCACATATGCAAAACTAATATAAATGTTCCTGTTAAATACTAATTTCTACTGATATGTGTATTATATGAAATATGAATAGTATTACAATATTATTTTACTAATTTGTAAAATACTATGATTTTATCTTTCTTGACTTATATTTTCAAATTTTAAGTTATCTGTTTGTAATAATAATAATACGCTTCAGAAATTCTGATGTATATCGATCATTTTCAAATTGTTATACATATTGCTTACAACTTCGTTTCGTTTATGAATATTTTGATTAAATTGCTTTTATAAACAACCTAATCGAATTTAATTTCATTATTTTTTTGTAACTTATAGATATTTTTAATCCTATTTAGTTTTAAAATTTAAACAAAACATTTTTATATTTTTTCTACTGTTATAAATTTTAATTTTTTTTGTTATAAATTTTAATTTAATCTATATAATTTTCAATAATTAAATATTGGACAATTTTGAGAGTTAGATAATATTACTCGCCAGGTGATAATTTTTTTTGTTAGAACTTTATATTTTAGTAGACCGTAAATTCTATTTTTTATAGTGCATACATAATAATTTGTATTTTTAATATACTTGATTGAATATGTACAATATTTAAAGCTGTTGAAATCGGTAACGAAATGAAATGGGATAATGAATTTTGCGTTGTATGTGATACGATCTTTAAAAGTGGCCAAATAATCAAGTCCTCTGATAGCTTATCTTTAGCAAGCAATCTTGCTAAACAAAAACATTTGTTTAATTAAATTTAATTTCAAACGTAGTTTAATTTGCGTATTCTATTCATTGGGCAGAATTAAAACCAAGAATTCATTTAAAATTATTTATTTGCTAACATTTCGTCGTACGAATATTAGCCAAATTGTTTTAGGATGGCTTGAAACCCTATAAAATAGTGGTTGAGTTTATGATTAGATATAAATAAAATAAACAAATAAAATCAATTTTGTTAATTTATGCTTTGAGCATAATATCACTTGAATTTATTCTGCCAAATGATTTTTTTTTAAACAATCTCCTACTCTTATAATATATTAGTATTGTTTATCATAGTGTTCAAAGATTTTTTTACTTTCTTTGCTAAGTGCCTTTAAAAATTAAAATTATGCACCTTTTATAATTATGCTTAAATGTAAATCCTTTTGCTGTTTATTAGATGTGAGTTTCGATAATCTCATACTATTAGCTAGATGCAGAAACTGATCAATAATAATTCATTTTTCATTTATTCATACACATTTGAATTTTTCATGTTTTGTGTTTAAGTATCCATTATTTATGCTATTTTTTGCAGAGGTAATACGATTCCTATGGAATACAATAACCAAGATCGTATTATGAAATTTGGCGAAGGTCAATACAAATATGAGTCTAGAGGTCTAGTTGCTCAAAACGCCCGAGAAGAGAGGTTCCGTTATAATGCGAGAGGTCTTTTGACCCGTGCGACCAAACGGGGTCGATTCGATGTTCGATACTATTATGATCATATTGACAGGTAAATAATTGTTTTTAGTGCTTTTGTTAACTTACAAGTAGAAATATTATACCACTTTATTGTATATTTTCTTCGTCTTTTTCAAATTATACGATTTTTTTGCAATGATAATAAAATTAAACAATTTATAAAACGGAAAACTTATGCTTAATTTTGTTGAATCTATATAGTTATTATAGCTATTTATTATATGCGTGAAAGAATATTTAATTAATAAAACAATGTTTTTGAAAATAATTAACCTACATTATTTGGTTAGCCAAATTTTATAAATTTACATCATTATTATCTTTCTAAGATGTTTTTTTAAAATGCTTTGACTTTTTAAAAAAAAATTAACTAAAAGAATTGTAATAAAAGTCCTAAATTCTGCAGCTCTTTCTTTGAAAATAACTTATCTAGACTTCATATCTAAGTCAGTTATGTATATTTTTAAAGGCTTACTACACGGAAGGATAACTTTGGCAATGTTACGCAATTTTTCTACACCAACCAAGAACGCTTGTATGAAGTTAGTCAAATATATTCACCGAGGGATGGAAAATTAATGACACTCACCTATGATGATAGAGGACATTTAATTTATGCTCAGGTTAATATGAATTATTTATTGGAAAACTGCTTTCACTAACTTTTTAAACAAAACTATTTGTTTTTCTCATTTTCCATTATTTGATCTATAAAAATTGTTGCAGGTCTATCGTCATAGATATTATGTGGCAACTGATCAATGTGGCACACCAATAATGGTATTCAATCAATACGGCGAGGGTGTCAGAGAAATAATGAGATCTCCATATGGTCATATTGTTTACGATTCTAATCCATATTTATATTTACCTGTTGACTTCTGTGGTGGTCTTCTAGATCAAGTTACTTCTCTTGTACATATGCCAGGCGGTGGTGTTTATGATCCACTTATAGGCCAATGGATGACTCCACAATGGGAGAAAATGTTGCAAAAAGTAGCATCACCAACTCATCTGCATCTTTATAGATACAATGGCAATGATCCTATCAATGTGCAACATGATAATCACAGGCCTACAGGTAGCAGATTTCATTCAACTTATTATTGATAATACATATTATGCATTTTATTTTTTACTTCGGAATTCATAAATTTCTGATTCCCTTATTTGTCTTCAAGATTCATATTTAATTTTGCGCAAGATCAAATTTTTAGATTTTTTCTGAAATAATTGTGAACTGTCTAGAAACATTTTGTAATCTATTTGCGAGATCGTGTTGATTAATTACGATAAATATAAAATCAGCCAAAAATTACCAAGTTCATCATCGAACACAATTATGTTTGTATATCTGAAATTCATTCAATTCACTGAAACCTGGCGCAATTGATTTTAATATTTTTTATAATGCATGGCATAGCACTTTTGGTTTTGTTTTTGTATCTAAACGAAAATTAATTTATGTTACTTTTAACTGCATATGCTAAACAGTTAATATTGTCGTTTTACATTTGTTAAATTAAAATAAAACTGCTTAATAAAAATAAATGAATATAAAAATGAATATAAAATAATCTATTTTTAGGTGCTTGGGAGTGGCTGAATCGATTAGGATACAATTTGAAGAGTTTAGCACCGCAATTGAATGCCGATTCTATTCTTAATCCTTCATTACCTAGTGCCAACTTACCTGATCTGACCGGTCATGCGCCTCTGACCATTGTTTCCGGATTTTTATCGCAGTTTGCTCGAGAACATTTATCTAACAGCAGACAATTATCAGGACCTTCAGAGTCTTCGTTAAAATTAGATGGGTCAGAACCAACTTTCAACAAAATTGGTGCAGCATCCGAACCACCTTTTGGCAAAGGCATTGTAGTATCCAGGACAACACAAGGACGTGCTATTGTATCGAGTGTTCCTGCTGCAAATGCTATATACCGAGATGTTTATACTTCTGTTTTCAATAGATCTCTGCTTTTGGAATTTAGTTTGGTAGTTCATGGTGGTCAACAAGATGCATTCTTCTTTGTCAAAGAAGATACTTGGAAATCTGCTGAGGATCGACAGCAATTAAAACGGTTACAGGGTCAAGTAAATACAACATTCCATGAAATTGCTCGTGAAAATGGCAGTGGTGCTGATTATTTGGATGTCAAAATCCATGGCCCGCATGCTGTGATTAATTTACGGTACGGAACGACAGTTGATAGAGAAAGACAGAGGCTTCTCCATCATGCAAAATTATCAGCAGTTCGCAAGGCTTGGCACCGAGAAAAGGAGGCACTAAAAGCAGGATTGTCTGGAGCAGTGGACTGGGCTCCTTCGGAAGTGGAAGAAATCCTTAAATCAGGTTATGCAAACCAATATGATGGTGAGTATGTACATAATGTTTTACAGTACCCTGAACTCGCTGAAGATCCATACAATATTCGCTTTGTTAATAACAAAGGCGGTCACAATTCTATGAAACGACGCAAAAGGTTTTGCGGATCAGGTACTGGTTGCTAGTATAAATATAAATTATTGCTTGAAAAGACTTTTACTCCAGAGCTTTAGACTGAATTATGATCGGTCATTGTCAGTAAACTAGAACCAATGATATAATGTTTAACTGATATGCATTTAGGAATTTTATTATATTTAAAAATATTCAACGATGCCAAATTGGACATTTTATCCAAATCAAATTTGTTTCATAATAATGTGGCCAACTGCATGTGTTTAAATGTTATGTAATTATATTTATAATGCTTGTGATATGCTTATATTCGATAGATTTGAAACCTGGAATTTATTTTGAAGTTTTTTCAACTTGCAATAGAATTATTTTTAAAATAAATTTATACATAAAGTTCATAAATTAAATATAAGTAACTAACAAAAAAATATTTATTCGCATTTTAGAAAGTTGTGTGATCTAAAACGAATTTAAACATATCCACACATTATGAAATAAGTACCACATGCACAAAAAGCATTTCCTATAAATGTATATAGTTTTATTTTGATAATTAGATTTTAATGTAAATCCATAAGTCTTATTTTAATTATATTCTGTAAATATCATAATGAATCATGATATAATCGTGATATGAAAAAAGCGCACTTGTCACTTCTCTTTTAATATGACTCTTTAAAGACTAAGCATGAAAAATGTTTTTGTGCCAAGATTCAAGATTATACCGAAAAGTTTCCCATCGGTCACAAAAACTTATTTTGCAGTTAAATTGGCCAATTTCTTTGCCACGAGTTTCGATCTTAAATCTTAAATATCTTAACAAATTTACTCAGAGATATGTATACTAATTCAAAGAGATGATTGAAGATAGATAATTGATATTAAACGACAAGGTTTATTTAAAATTATTATTGTACATAATCAACATGATAATACAGGACGTATACATCCTGAATGGAATATATCTACTATTGCACAGAATATAATACTGTGAAGAATGTTTCATATAAATACCAAACAAATATTAATATCACAATTTGTGATAAGCCATTTATTGATATTATTTTATTTAATTAACACAGTAATATAACTGAGTCTATAGGTATAATATATTTGTATGCATGTGAAAAATGTTAACAGTGGATAAATTTTGCATGATAGGTTCATTATTGAATTGAGATTATTATTTTTTAACTGACCAATATGCCTATTTTTATAAGGTATGTTAAATGATATTTCTTCATAAAGAAATTAGTTAAACAAAAAGTACAATCCTGTATATGATTTATTGTACTATTATTCATAAGTTTATATATTTAATATATTAGAAAAAATTATGGAGATGTGCTTTTAGAAAAATATTCAATGCTATGAAGTAAAAATTAAATGGCTAAAGATTATAATTTTCTGCAATATTATTTTCCTTAATAATTAATATTTAAATATTTGTTAAATGTTCTTATAATAAGTATCAAGTATTGAAAATTGCAAATTTATAATCTTTTGTTATGGAAGCTGAAATTTTTTATATAAATATATATTCAGATATGTTATGAATGTGGGTGATGTATTTATATGAATCGTGTAAATGTTGAGTAGTATCTGCACACATGTGTATATAACATAATTTATAAATAGATAAATTATACAATATGTATTTAAATATTAGTGATATATCTGTACATATAAAAGTAAAGAATATAGTTAATATACCTTGATCAAATATCAGGAGGATTTTTATACTTGGATGCTGAAATGAAATTCGAATAGAGATGTTACTCAAACAAGAATTGCAACTTATTTGCTATTGTTCTTCCTGTATGCTTGTGTTATCTGTATCAATCTTCATATGTATTTATATTTATGAAAATATTAGAAACTCCGAATATAAAATATATGTTTATGAAAAAGAACTTTAATTTTGATGTTTACTTTAATTTAAAAATTAGAATAATTATTCTAATTAACATTTATTTCAGTAAACCACTTGATAGTATCAAAAAGAGTCTTCTCATGCCAAAATATTACATGTCCTGAATAAGTCATTAAGCAATTTTATTAGAATATGATAAACTCCATAAAAATATAATTTTTTATATCTATCTAGATCAAGACGTAAATTTTTATTTTAAAATATAATATCATTACCATCGTTCTAGCCCCCTTTTTTTTAAATTTAATGCACTCTAAGCAAGTTTTTGCGATTTTTTACCACTATATTCGTTTAAATGCTTTTTGTCCACAATAATCTTTTAATAAATATGCAGATATTAAAAGCTGTTACTCGTTTTTGCAGTTATTAAAAGGAATAGATTTAATAATTTAATATAATTTTTCAATAGTTTAATTTTTCAGTACCTTTAATAATTGTTCTGATCATGTTGCCCTTGCACCAGTTACGGCTTCAATTTGAATACTATTACAAAATTATTATACTAAATGATTTCCATTTTTTTTGAATATTAATATAACTGGTTCATTAAATATATTTCGAAAATTTTGGCATTGACTTTTCCTGCTGATTTTCTATACAACTATCTTTGTGTGCCAGCGATGCTCTAATCTGATTTTTATTACTCTATTGAAATCTTTTTTTTTTTAATTTTCTATATTTTGACCAACTTCTTATTTTGACTAATTTATTAAAAATATTTAAAATCTACGGCATTCACATACTAATGCTCTATAGATTTATCTTTGTGTGCTCTAGCAAAACTAGATCTGCCCCTACTTCTACTTTTACTCTCAAAAGTTTATGGAATAATACTTATTTTAATACTTGACTTGCTTATTTTACTAAACAAACCTATTTTGACATTCATACTTCAGGAACTAATAAAAAAATCTAACACTCTTACTTATTTCAAAATTTAGCATGTAACTTTTTACTATTACTTACATTTGTTTACTGTGCTCAAAATAAACATCGTTTGCTTTATAATATATGATTGATTAAAACTGTTAATTCTTTATATACATTTATTTCATATATCACTGTTTTATGTCCTGATTAATTATTATTAATGATGTATTTACAGTTTGATATGCCTAATAAAATTTGCTGTTGGACTTGTTTGATAAAGGTGTTCAATATAATATTTCAAGTTTAAATTTTTAATTATTAGCCGAATTTAAAATCTAATTTAAGTTCAGCCTTACAAATTTTATTCCAGAATATTAATAGTACATATTGCATAGTCCCATTGTAGAGTTTTTAACGTTTCGTATAATCACCAACGTACCGTAACGAAATGTTCGAGGAATACTGAATGTTTTCAAATAGATTATTATAAATATTGTAACATTGTTAATATTTATAAGAATTATATAAACTGAATTGCAAAGTTGAAATTATTTGTTTCAACAAAAAACTAAAAAAAAAAAAAAAAATCGAACAAAATTTTTTTTTCCAAAATCAATTATTTTCCAAAATCAAGACAAGCAGAAAGTTTTTTGAATCATTCAAATCGGACGCTTAGTTCTCTCAAAAACTGCCATTTTTTACATATTAGCTCCGTATCTTCGAAATGGCTGGCTTGCCTTTGCCAAAAACTAATAAACACTTCTCCCAATCATTACTAATTGAATGTTTTTTAGATCATTCAAATCGGATACTTCGTTCTCTCAAAAATCGATTTCTATTTTCCGCACTCTTTGCTCCGTATCTCCGAAACGGCTGGACCTGCCTTTGCCAAAAACTAATCAGCTCTTTCCCTATCATAGGAATCGAATGTTTTTGAACCATTCAAATCGGTTGATCCGTGCGCCCTAAAACGTGACTGGAAATTTGTATCCACACATACATACACACACACACATACACACACACACACATCCATTTTTTTCTGAGGTATGCCAAAATGTTCAGAAACCTTCAAAACGTCGAGAAATGTAAAAATTTTCAATTCCGATTCGGCCCATTACAATAACTTACCCTACGGGAAGTTAATAACATGGTGCTTTTACAAATGTTTCTATATATAATACCAATAAATAAAATACCAAAAAATAAAACTATAAAATTGATCTTACATACGTCCGTTATGTACTACAATTTTATGTGGAATGCAGAAAAAAAATTATTCATTTATTTTTTCTTGAGATCTATTTTCAGACAAATAATAAGCAGAGAGACGACTGACATTATACATTGAAAACAACATTGACTAGAAATTGGTAGCTTTCAGTGGCTTATCTACTACGAATATAAAATATATAATTACAAAATATATATGTATTTATTTATTCAACGCCCATGGCAATAATGCAATATAATTTCATGTTTAAGTAAACAAGTTATAGATAATATATTAAAGATAATATATGAGATAATTAGAGAATTGAGTCATTAATTACTTAATGACTTATTAATAGAGATCATAGAAGCGTTTAGAATTATTGTGAGTGCGTTGGATGATGATTAAATTACTCTTTTTCACAGGACCCAAAAGTTGAAGACCATAGGTCCACACGGGTCCAATCACCGTCTTATATACTAGTATTTAATTGTAAACTGAGACTTTTAAATATCATTAAGTACAACTTCGGGACCAGTTTGATCGCAAAGTTTGAAAGTAACATGAACTATTTGTGCTATTGACTTCTATCTTCCACAGTGAATACCATTTTTCAGTTATACTAATAATGAGATGATGCTGGAGAAGGATCTTTATTTGCGGCGATCATGCACGTATCAGCAGCAAATATGGCAGCACTTGCTATTGTTTGAATATTATTTTAAACTGTTTAAAAATTTTAATGTATTTGTTACAAACAAACTATAAAATTCAACTTATTTTTGTTTTTTTTATATTCTGTAATTTTCTATAACTATTTATGTACCAGTTTAAATATTTACATAAATGTGTAAATACTATTTGTGATGTACGTGTATTGATTGCTGTAATTGTTTATAACTTCTATAAAATATAAAATGTCATTTTTAACAATAATAATTGGTTCCGTCATCTTTCGGTAAATGCAGAAATTGCATTATATGCACATTTTGCCTCATTATGTAATCGTTGACAATTTTATGGATAGCATTTTCGATTTTCGAGTTCGTTGATGGTAGTGTAGATCGTTGGTAGTTTTGTTTTGGGACCTACGCATTAAAATTAGTCAATTCTTCTAGTTTTTGTTCT